CCCCCCCCTTCCCCGCTAACTCTTTTTTATGTGATTAGATACATTCCAATAACAAGGAAAGCAGAGGTGATTCCTTTCATTCTGGGTGTTTCTGTGCTGCTGACTTTGCTTCCCTGGAGTGTCTTTCAGCTTCCTCCATTTGGAGGAAGTTCTCAGAACCTTGTTGATTTGAAGACTACTTTTTATTCCCAGCTGGAATTTCATAGCAGAAAGCTAGAAGGTGAAAAACAAAAAAAATGTATGATTAATATTCATTATTAACTATAGCCTTCATTTTCGACAAAATAACCAAAAAACCTAAACCACACCAAACAATGACCCAAACTCATTGCATGACATCAGAGCAACCTTACCGGAGAGGGTGGTACTGCCTCTTTGTGTCTCCAAGGATTTACATCTTTGCGGGAGGGGACGACCTCATCCTTCTCCAGAGGGATGGCTGCGGGGTTCAGACCCCTGGTTTTGAGGTTAGCAGATCAGTGAGTAGCCCACTGTGCCACCAGGGCGCCCAACTGTCTGATTATCTGTTAATATTTTCTACATGCCATCATGTTAGAAATTATGTTCATAAAACAAAACAGATTATTTGTAGGACAAAGACTCTACAGTGTTTGATTTGGTTTAACATAAAAATGGTTGATAATAGAACATAGATTGAAAGCTCTTCCATCCCCCTCCAATTCTTCCAGAGTAATATACTGGTTACTCAAAAAGCAGAGGCTATTTTTGTGTAGGAAATGTCTGGTTAAAGAGTTTTATACAAATCTCTATTAAGTTAATTATTTATTCTTTTAATGAATGCTTCCATCAGTATGTATTAAAGTCACATTAAAATTCAGAGGCATTTTAAAGAAACATTTTTAAAATCTGATATAACAATTTGAATAATCATTTTATTTAGGATACCCCTCATGAACTCTTGAGCAGGCTCATTACAATTAGTTAGATTTATAATATTTGCAACATTAATTCTTAGGTCATAAGAAACTTAGGACTAAACTGAGTCGCTACCTTAGTTTTGACATTTTAGGATATTGAACCATATAAAATTGCCTTTTTTAGGTTAAAAAAAAGCATAATATTGGTAATTTCATATGGTTCAATCTAATCCTTGCTAAAAGTTATACATCATTTTATATTTACAAAGACCTTTTCAGATAACTGTTCAAGTTTAGGGGGTGGAGCTTTTATTAATCATATGTATTGATGTGGGAAGACCCTTCAACAACTTGCCCTGGGCCACTGCACTGGTCCACAGCCATGGGACGACTCTGCCCCAGTCTTCTTGACTTCACAACCTCCCTGTTTACTATGCCACCCTCTTTCACTTGTTCAAACGTCCAAGAACACAACCCCATGGCTTTAACATCTTTTACACTTTATCCCAGGCCAGTACAGATGATGGTTTGCGATGAGCTTGCGCAGCCAGTATCTCCTGGCTCTACCCTCTTACTCCTGACTCGTGAGCCCTGGAGACTGAGCTCTTCTCAAGGAAGGGCATCCACCAGCACAGTATCAGAACAGCCCTCAGGCTTTTCTTAAAGGTCTTTCTTCGGTTTTCACCAAGGCTCCTAGATATCTCTGCAAGATCAAGGGTTCAGCTCTCAGTAACTTTTATAAGTCTTGAAGCTGTCTCTAGAAGCCTCTTAAATGGACAAATTGTTTACTGTATGTTTGCACTGTGGATGCATGGATGGATGGGTAGATAGGCAAGAACCACTATGCTTTTCCCCTTGAGCTAGCTTAAAATATGTTGATCAATGCAGTTTTTAGGTTGAACCCCACTATTGGCATTTTTCTATAGATTTCTCAGTAGTTTTGTTTTTTTGAAAATCATTTTATTGGGGGCTCATACAATTCCTATCGCAATCCATCCATCCATTGTGTCAAGCACATTTGTACATTTGTTGCCATCTTCATTGTCAAAACATTTTCTTTCTACTTGAGCCCTTGGTATCAGCTCCTCATTTTCTCCCTCCCTCCCCCACCCTCCCTCTCTTATGAACTCTTTTTTTTCTTTTTTAATCATTTTATTGGGGGCTCATACAACTCTTATCACAATCCATACATACATCCATTGTGTCAAGCACATTTGTACATTTGTTGCCATCTTCGTTGTCAAAACATTTTCTTTCTACTTGAGCCCTTGGTATCAGCTCCTCATTTTTCCCCTCCCTCCCTTCCTCCCTCCCTCCCTCATGGACCCTTGATAATTTTTAAATTATTATTTTTTTTCATGTCTTACACTGTCCAATGTCTCCCTCGACCCCATTGTCTGTTGTCCATACCCCTGGGACGGGGTTATAGGTAGATCATTGTGATTGGTTCCCCCTTTCTCCCCCAACCTTCCCCTTCTCCTCCTGGTATGGCTACTCTGAATATTGGTCCCGAGGAGTTTATCTGTCCGGTATTTCCTGTGTTTCCAGCTCTTATTTGTACCCATGTACGTGCTCTGGTCTAGCCAGATTTGTAAGGTAGAATTAGGGTCATGATAGTGGGAGGGGAAGGAAGCATTAAAAAACCGGAGGAAAGCTGTATGTTTCATCTGTGCCATACTGCACTCTGACTGACCCATCTTCTCCTCACGCCCCTTCTGTAAGGGGATGTCCAATTGCTTACAGATTGGGTCTGGGCCTCCACTCTGCACTGCCCCCCTCATTCACATTATAATTTTTTGCTCTGGGTCTTTGATGCCTGATACCTGATCCCATCGACACTTCATGTTCACACAGGCTGGTGTGCTTCTTCCATGTGTGCTTTGTTGTGTCTCAGCTAGATGGTTGCTTGTTTATCTTCAAGTCTTTAAGACCCCAGATGCTATATCTTTTGATAGCTGAGCACTATCAGCTTTCCTCACCACATTTGGTTATGCACCCACTTTGTCTTCAGCGATCGTGTCGGGAAGGTGAGCATCTCAGAGTGCCGAATTATTAGAACAAAGTGTCCTTGTGTTGAGGGAGTACTTGAGTAGAGGGCCAATGTCCAGTTTTTTAAATGGTCAATAAATTACCAAGGTTAACTTATGGGAACCATCTATCCTATAGAGAGTGTTGGTTCACATGTCTGTGTGCTCAGAAGCCTATTGAGAAGTATTGGAATCAACTGTACAAAGTGTGGCTTTGTCTGTCATTTCTCCCATTGTCTCTCTAGGTAAAAAATAGTGTCTGATATACGGTAGATTTTCAGTGGTATGCTGTAATGAGGGAATAGAATGAATGGATCAGTCAGTATAGTCGCTGCCATGAGCTTCCACCCCTTAGCCTTACCTCTCCTTTTGAGTCTCCCAAAAGATTAAACAAACAGCCATGGAAACCAAGCAAGCCACAATGTGCTATGTTTGAGGACATCGTGGATCCTTTCCTGTTTGAATGCTGCAGGCATGGGACGGGAGTGTGGCGGGAGTGCAAAAAAGATCAACAGACACAAGGTCTCAAAGGACTTCTATCCTCTATTTTAGAGATTGAATTTAAACAGTTTTATGCTTTTTACCTGTACAACTATCAGTGAACATTTTAAAACGAGGGTACAGTATATGTGCGTGTGTGCACATGAAAGAATCAGACAGAATTTTGGAGTAGTCTTGAAGACAGTGTTAATGGTTGGAGATGAAGTTTTTTCTAAACTTTTACAAGCTTCCAAGTAATTTAAACAGACTGAGGTTTGGAAGCAACTTCACAGAATGCAGGGTCATGTGTCTAGGAGACTTTCTAAAGAGAGCTGTCAGATGAATAAATATCACTCTTCAGGGCAGTTTCTCTTCCAGCTTAGGTTAGCAATGCTATGGTGACTTAGAAAATAGGGACGTAGACCCTTAACGAAAACATGGCTTTAGCTATATAAGGTTTATGCTATGAAAGAAAACCGAGGGTTTCCAATTGGTAGACATACCTTTTCCTGAGCCTAGTTTGACGAATGCTGAAATAGCAACGCCGAAAAGCACATTTAATGGTGACAGATTGTGTCTGATATCCGTGAAACAGCTTTGGAAATTCCATGGTTTGGGTTACAAAGAAAATCAGGCAAGAGGATGCAGAGAGTTCTGGGAAAAACTCATGACATTAAACCATAAAACAACTCAGAACACATCTACTCTATTTTTGTCTGGGCTTGTGGTGTCATTGCTTGATGTAAATAACAGAGCACCAGTTCAAAGCATTATTGAAAATACAGGTGAGTATACATGAGCATATTGCATATCATTTTAGCAGACGTATTGCTTTTCTATTTTAGAAGTAAAACCATCCTTGACAGTTGTCCATATTTGTCAATACTGGCTCTTCACTGGTATCCTCAGCAAATCAATGGGCACAAGTTTGAAGGAAAGGAAGGTGATTATGTTCGAGTTCCTGAGAGGTTGTTGGATGTCCCGGACACAGAAGGACTGGCTGGGCAGAGCACATGTCAATTTGTCCAGTTCACAGAGTACAGCAGCCAGCAGTGGTTTACATCCGGAAGCGATCTGCCCACCCTGAGAGATAAGGTAATCTGTCATTGCATGATGAGTGTGCTCGGGCCTGTTTGTCCAGAACGGACCCCTTAGATTGTATCTGCATGCTCCGATCCATGATGATGAAAAACATCCAACCTCATGATACATTTGTAGTATTTAGGTTCAAAATAGTTGGAACAATTTCCTTCATGTTTTATTGAGTAAAATACATATGAAAATGGGGAAGGTAAAAAATACACAGTCTTCACTCATATCAGACTGTGTTCTGTGTGTTAAGCAGGATGGGATCAAGCAGTTATAATCAACGTGAGAAGCTGGACTCCTGAGTAACCACAGTGAAAGTAGAATGTCTTCCACAGAAAACCAGACACCTGTATTCATAACTAAACTAATGATTAATAGTCGCAGTAAGCACGTGACTGAAATGACTAGAAAAATGAAGCAATGTTCAGAATAAGAGACTCCGTCATGACACTAATGAGAAAACCCCATCAAATTATCTCTACTTTTGACATTATAGGTACTATCATTGAGTGTGAAAGGTCAAAGTTCACAACCCCTGATTAACAACAATGAGGTTCTCTACAGAATTTATGCTGCTGAGCCTAGAATTGTTTCACAGACGTCCCTGTGTCTCCTTTGGAATCAGGCTGCTGCAAGGTATTTATTAATAGATTTTAGAAATCAGAACTCGTTCCCTCCCCATTCCAATGTCACTGGACCCTTGTTCTCTTCTGAATGGAGATGGTGGTGTTAAGTGGGATGTTAACTACAACTCCAAGCCACAGATTCAATTCCTATTCATAGTGATAGTAATGGAGAGGGTAAGAGAGCCCATGTGGGTTTCTGAACCTGTAACTCACGGGAGTAGAAAGCCCCATCTTTCTCCATCGCAGCAATTGGTGGTTTGGGACAGCTAAACTCACAGTGAGCAGACCAAAATAGAGCATGCGACTCCACTGCGGTGCCCAGGTGATATGTTAGTCTAGAGGGGGGGAAACAAAACAATCTCTAAATAAGTAAGAGAGAGGGATGTAGGAAATGGTTTGAGCATTGTTCAAGTAGAAAATGCCAGAGAACAATGTCAAGGTGTACCACATCACTTACTACTACGGAGTTTGTAGGGGGTAGTATGAGTTCTACTCCATTCAGATAGCTCTGGGAGTTAATTAGTTAACGTGTTGAACAGGTATGAATTTTTTTTGTTTTGACCCCTTTTTGTTTTGTTTCTGGAGCTGTTCTATGTTTAGAGAGATTGTGGAAATTATCATTCTCGTCTGCATATGAATGAGCCCTGGTGACATAGTGGGTTACATGCTGGGCTGCCAATCATAGGTCAGCAGTTCATATCCACCAACTGCTCTGAGAGAGAAAGATGAGATTTTCTGCCCCACATAAAGATTTACAGCTTCAGAACCCAAAAGGGGCAATTCTACTCTTTCCCATAGGGTCTCTGTGTCATCCTGATTCGGTGGCTGTAGTAGGGACATATATGAATGGCCTGCAGTTTGAGGATTAGAGCCATACGTGGGAATAGGAAGAAGAGAGTGAGTTTTTCTTTGACTCTTCTTTACCTGGGTCCCCCAAGTTCTAGAACACCTACTAGCTCTCACCGCTAAATCAAACCTGCATGGTTACGCAGCGTAAACTGAGAGGGTCTAGATTCCAATTTAAGCCATTCAATTCTCTTGATTACTGAATTTCAGCCACACAAATAAAAAATAAACTAAATATAAGAGTTTACCTGAGTGTCCAACTACCTCTGAAAATATAGAAGTTCTGATCCATCTTCCACTTCCTTTATGGAACAAAATGCTTTTTAAAAATTGAAAGTCCTTGTGCTTGATGCTAGATCTTAAACCTAATCTATATAGTCTGTGTAATCCGCAGTACATGATAGATCCTCTACAGTTTGGATTCAGAAGTTTTATATCTTAGAAAAGTGGTGGAGTTACAAATGTCCTGCAAGGGCAGACCTCCAAGCCAAAGTCACTAAAGATGACTCAGAAGGCTTGGCCCGTGAGGCGGTATTCACTATCAATGTAACGAGAATTCTGTGCCCACTTAGACAAGCTTACAGAAGGAAGCAGTTGAACAAATCCTAGAAAGCATACGTGCAATGTAAGGGACCGCATACTGGGAAAAAAGATGATAAAGAAATCTTCGCAAAGCCGGTAAGGACGTGGGTCAGCAGCACAGGCTTGGTGAGAACGGAGGTGAAGGCTACACAGTGAATGTGGGTCCTGAGGGATTGTTTCATGACGGAGGAGTGTCTTCTGATGCAAACCTTTGGGTGTGTTTGCTGGATTCGAAAGACACCGGTCCTTCTCTGTTGAGAGAACCAGCTTCTTCATGACCTGGAATGCTCTTGCAGGCCTGGTGGCTCTGCAGGCTGTTTCTGAAGGCATCTTGTGGCATCTGTCGTGTCCTGTCCTGGACAAGAAGTTCCCTGCAGTGTTTCCTGTTGAAACTGGTCTGCCTACATCTCGGTTAAAGAACACTTGCATTCAGCTACTGATGTTTTTCTTTAAAGGCCACCTCAGCACCTTAAGTTCTGTTGTAAAAGGAGTAGTGACTTTGTGTTTTTCCCCCAGCTGGATCTCTGACAGCGGGTTTTGCAAGGTGGTGGAAGATACTTCAGACTATGTGGAATGCGCCTGTTCTCACATGTCCGCGTACGCTGTTTACGCCCAGACCGACAGCTTATCTCCATACAATGAAGCCTTCTTCTCCTCTGGGTTCATATGTACCTCAGGTTGGTTGGAGTATATTTTGCGTCAATAATTTTAAATGTGTAAAAGAAAATAAATGTCTGTTTTGACATAATCCTTTCATAGACTCAAAGTACAAACACATCTGCCACTTAAATCCTTGGAACAAAAGGTCTTTTCCCATGGTCTCGGTCATTCATTCTGCTGGTGACACAAAGCAGAACGAGGCAGAGTTGTAGCTTATGAGGAGGCCGCAGTACGACGTGGGATAAGTCAGATAACAGGAGATGGTGGAGTTCATTCTCTGTAGTCAGAATGTCAAGGATTTCCTGACACGAATGCTTTCAAGGCCATTTTTTATATTCCTGAAAAATAACAACAACACCTTACTCGTGAAATACTAGTTCTGAGTATACTAACCACTGTGTTAAAAATGAAATTCTTTCTTTCACCTGTCAAATCCAGACCCAATTTTGGGCAGAAATAGGAACTTATGATTATCAATCAAGTGACTTACCTACAACCTAACCATAGAATCATTATCGTTTGCTGCATTAATTTTAAGATTGTGAGTCTGAGATTTTCATAAGAGCAATTAGTATCCAGGCCCACCCATCCACCGTTGTTCCCTGAAGAATGTGTAGAGGATAATGATGAACATGTCAACTCTATCGCCAGACTGCCTGGGTTCACATCCTGCTTCTGCCGTGTGAGAGCTGGCTATTTGTGAGATCTGAAGCAAATCGCTTGGCTTTTCTGTGCTTTGTTTTTCTTACTTGTAAAATAAGACTCATGATAATATCAATATAATAAGTTGATAGAGGTATTAATTCAGAAATTAATGACATTTTATTTAATGACATCTTTGCCTTTAAGTATGATTATCATTAACCCTATGCATTGTGTATGTAATGCACAAGGGACCTTCCAAATAATCTTTACTTATAAGGACATTTTTTTCTGGTGATTGAAGCAAATAATGAATTCTGTTCATTGTTCTGGGGATTAGAGTCTTTTCAATACACTTTAATTTTCTAAGGTTGTACGTTTACATTTTCCTTAATATGTGTGAACCTATCCTTTGATTCAACAGCAAAAGATAGTTATTTTTTTATTCTTAGTAATATCTTTCAAAAAGGAAGACATTTCTTGCTTACTAGATCCGTCTGGATACACAAAATAGCAAAATCAGATGAAAACACCTTAGTATACTTTAATGCTACTATATTTAAGTAGCACAGATGCTTTATGGAATGCTAAAACAAAGCCAAAAGGCTGACACAAAATCTAGACATCATTACACTTGTTTCCATAGAGATTTCAATCCAAGTGCCGCTCTGAGCCACAAAAATCATTTGTTCCAAACAGTGAACATCAGTGCACATTCTAAACACTGACAGAAGAATGTTATTCTGATTTCCCAGAAACCCGTCAGTGCTAGAGAGTGTTTCCTGGGAGAATCACTGAGAAACATCTTTGGAGCAGTTCACTTTGGGAAAAATGACCTACATTTGCCTACATGAAAATCAACACAAAAGTGTCAGTGTGTGCTTTTATTACGTTTTAATTTGAGTGGTATTTGAAATGATTACTGACCCCCATGCCCATGTATTGTAACATATCATTACTTATATATTCTATAGATGAGGAAGCAGATATTTATAAGACCTGTCTTTGTGCCTCAGTTTCAATAAAGGGAGTATGAATGGTCTTCTCTCTGATGAGCCACCAGGAATCAAAATAACAAGAATTCTGTGTATTATCTGAAAAGCTGATAGGTTAGGTTATTCCAAATATTCCTCTGCTTTGGGACTTGGTCCCCTTTTCATGACTAGTCTTTTCACGAAATGTAATACTATGATTCTAGTTCAACCTTTAAAAAAATCAGGATAGACCATGATGTATTTATGCAAATTGTATTTTGGAGTTCTGGTTAGTATTCTAGTGCACAACTGCAGAAAATTTGTGAAATAGGCCTGTTATTGTTGTTAGGGGCCATCAATTGGTTCCAACTCAGAGTGACACTGTGTACAACAGAACGACCTGGCCCTGCACCATCTTCACAATAGTTTTTATGTTGCAGCCACTGTGTCAATCCATCTCGGTAAGAATATTTTTGTATTTTTGCTGCCCCTCTACTTTCCCAAAAATGATGCCCTTCTCCAGGGACAACATATTCAAATTACATGATCCAAAGTCTTGCCATCCTTGTTTCTAAGGAGCATTGTGGCTGAACTTCTACCAAGACAGATTTGTGTGTTCGTTGTTCATGGTACGTTCAAAAATCCTTGCCAGCTCCTCAATAAATGCATCATGTCTCCTTCAGTCTTCCTAACTCAACAATCAACTTTTACATGCGTCTGAGGAACTTGAAAAAACCACGACTTAGGTCAGACATACCTCAGTCCTTAAAGTAACCTGCTTACTTTTGAACATTTTAAAGAGGTCTTGTGTGGCAGATTTATACCCAGTGCAGTGCATCATTTGATCTCTTAACTGCTTATGCATCCATGCAAGATGAAAACCTTGACAACGTCAGTCCTTTCTCTATTTACCATGATGTTACCTACTGACCCCGATGCGAGGAATTTAGTCCTTTACGTTTAGTGTAATTCATGCTGAAGGCGGTAATCCTTGATCTTCAACAGCAAGTGCTTCAAGTCATCCGTACTTTTAGCAAACAAGGTTGTGTTATCTGCCTACCACCAGGTTGGTACTAGCCTTCCTCTCATCCTGATAACAGCATCCCTCTTCCTATAATCCAGCTTCTCTGATGATTTTCTCAGCATACGGATTGAATAAGTGTGGTGAGAGGATACAACCCGGATGCACACTTTTCTTGATTTTTATACCATGTAGTATAGTCCCTTGTTCTGTTTGCACAGTTGCCTCTTAATCCATGTGCGGATTCTGCATGAGCACTATTAAGTGTATGGAATACCTATTTCTTCTCAAGTCTATCCATAGTTTGATGTGCTCCACATAGTATGCCTTTGCATAGTCAGTAAAACACAAGCCAACATCTTTCTAGTGTTGTCTGCTTCCAGCCACAACCCATATGACATCAAAAGTGTTGTCCCTTGTTCCACATCCTCTTCTGAATTTGGCCTGAACCTCTGGCAGCTACCCATGAATGTACTGTTGCAACCATTTTTTGGATGATTTTCAGCAACATTTTACTTGCATGGAATATCAATTATACTGTCCTAAAATTTGTGCATTCTGATGAGTCACCTTTCTTTGGAATGGGTACAAATAAGGACTTCTTCCAGTCAATTGGCTAAGTAGCTGTCTTCCAAATTTCTTGGCATAGAAAAGAGGGTGCTTCCAGTGTTTCATCTGTGTGTTAGACCAGTTCAACTAGAGAAACAAATTTAGACACTCGTGTGTAAGAGAGAGTATTATATCAAAGAGCAATTGTATACTGAGATAACATCCCAGCCCAGTCCAGAACAAGTCCCAAAGTCCGATATTAGCCCAAATGTCCGATACTAATCCATAAATTCCTCTTCAGACTCACATTGCCACCTGCAGTGATGACAAATGCAGAAGATCCCAGGCTCCTGGGTGAAAACTTGTGGATCCAGTGGCAGTGGAAGCATCACAGGGCTGTCCCCATAGGTCTCTGCTGCTCCACTTGGCTTGTCCACAGGCGGACAAAGACAGAGAGTGTGACCCGTCTTCAGGGAGAAAGAGAGGGAGTTCTCAGAATCCTCATGAGAAGGCCACACCCACAAGGAGGTGTCATCAGGCTGTGACCTGATTGACAGGCTAGACTCCAGCCTTAGACCTATTTATCAAGTTGACATGACATTGTGTAACTTCCACAATCAGCTTGTTGAAACATTTCAATTGACGTTATATCCGTTCCTGGAGCCATGTCTTTGATTAAGGCTTTCAGCGGAGCTTGAACCTCTTCCTTCAATACCATTGGTTCTTGATACTATGCTACTTCTCAAAAGGGTTAAACATTGACCAGTGCATTTTGGCACAATAATTCTGTATTCTTTCCATCTTCTTTTGATGCTTTTTACACCATTCAATACTTTGCCCAGAGCGTCTTTTAATTTACACCCCAAGGTTTGATTTTTTTTCTTGAGTCCTTTCAGTTGAAGATACATGTAGCATGCTCTTCCTGTGAGGCTTTTAACTCTAGGTGTTTGCACATTTGATGATAATATTTTACTCTGTTCTTTCAAGCTGCCCTATGAAATTTTCTGTTCAGCTTTTTGCCGTCATCATTTAAAAAAATTGCCTTAGCGCATTATTCAGAGCAAGTTTCAGCGTCTCCTCTGACATCACTTTGAATTTTTCTCTCTTGCCTGTCTTCTTCGTGACCTTTTGCTTTCTTCCTGTATAATGTCCTTGATGGCATCTCCCAGCTCATCAGGTCCTCTATCATTAATGTTCAGAGCCCAGTCGATTCTTCAGATATTCTCGAAATTTGGGTGGGATGTACTCAAGGTCATATTTTGGCTCCTGTGGACTTGTTTTAATTTTCTTCAGCTTCCTTAAACTTGGACTTGCTTATGAACAATTGATGTTATGTTCCACAGTCAGTCCCTGGCTTAGTTTTAGCTGCTGATACTGAGCTTCTCCATTGTCTCATCCCACAGATGTAGTCCGCTTAATTTCTGCCTATTCCATCTTGAGAAGCCCACGTGTCCAGTCGCCATTAGGATCTTTTGACGTGTGCGTTCCTGCTGTAGAAATTGTTGGTCTTGCAAAATTCTATCACGCAATCTCTAGCTTTGTCTGTATCACTAAGAGCATATGTTTCAATTACTGTTCTTTCTCTTTTGTTTCCAACTTTTGCATCCCAGTCACCAATAATTACCAATGCATCTTGATTGCATGTTTGATCAATGTTAGACTGAGGTTGTTGGGAGAATTGTATTTCTGAATCACTCTAGTGGTTGAGTAAGTTTGAGTAAGGTTAGCATGGACTGGATTTCACACAAGCCACCAAACTGATAGACAAAACAGAACAAACAAAAATTGTGGATAAGTTGGAGAGGAATTGGAATTCTTGACCCCTTTGTTG